CCCATCGTGTGTCAACTAATGTCAACTGTATTTTGCTTGTATCCATGGCAAAGGATATTTTTAACATTTACTTAACGTTGTATACAAAAATTACCAGGTATGAACAATGGATTATATTTTATTAGTTTTTACTTCTGTGAATTGGAAATCTATTCTAAATCTATCTATTTACTTACCTACCTACATATAGATTGGTATAACAATTGTATTTGTGTTTTGGGGAGAGAATTTGAGAACCATGCAAAACCTAATTTCGTGCTTCCACAGCACTGCAAATCAAATATACAATAACATATTAACTTATACAGACTGAGCAAATATTCCATCAGAGTCCAAAAGGTTTGAATAGACATACCTGAACATTATTGAATTCTGTACCAAAAAAAACCCCCCCACTACTCGAATACCCCCTGGAATTGTTAATAAATAAGACCGTTCACTTTGGTTCTTCTATTTTCTTTTGTAGCATGCCTTAAAAGCAATTACTATTTCATTACTGTTCACACAAGAGAAAAATTACCAGCCTGTAATTTAGAGGCAAGTGGAATAGACAGAAGAAAATGGAGTCACCCACATAGTTTCCAAAAAGAACCAGACAACAGCATAAATGTTTAAAAGACACACATTCATTGTACCAAACAATAATCTAGACACATCTTCATGTCTACTGGTATTCATGACAAAGAATAGTCAGTGAAAAGTAAGGGGGCGAATGATGGAAAAAGACAATTGGAAGAGGCAAGACAGAATGTCTTTTAAAGCTGAGTTATTATTTCTGGTCCATTAAATTATCAAAATCCAAATGAAAACTGCTGATCTCCAAAGAACCCTGTCAAAGACTAGCCATAACTCAAGTCCTATCCACAGGGAGACTAAAGAAAATCTATAGATTTAACATCAATAGCCTAAGAAAATTGGCTGTAGCTTTATGACCATATTTTTCCCAAAATGCTCACATTTTATCAGACCTAAGGCATGACTATTAATATGCTTTTAGATAGGGAGAAATAAAACACAAGGAACACATTTCAGGTAAAATAATGGAATCTTCTGGGTTTCTTCACTTTGAAAAGATAATTACCCTACACTAAGTATCAGGGTAAAAAAAACACGGTAGATCTTTTGTCTCCTTGCAGGAAACATACAGAATTTACTATTGGGGGTGGAGGGTGGGGTGGTTAAAATTGTGAATTTCAATATTCTTTGTATCATAGCTCTAATAAGCTGCCTGTAAAGGGGGGAGCTTATAAATGTTTCAGAAAAGGAGCAAGACAGAATTAAGCCTCAACTCCTCCACCTTCCTAGCACACAAATAACTTAACAGCATCCAACAAAAAATCCAAACAAAGGGCCTGTTCAGCTCACGGCCGTCAGAACATCTTCAAGATGCAGTCTCATTAAAGGAGTCCTTTCATGAGCTCCTTAAATGTCTCGAGTTGGCCTGTCTTCCAGTCTTTCCTCATTAAATTTAAAGTTAAAAATTTTAAAGTTTTTGTTCTTGCTTAGAAAGTGCTATTTTTTAACCTTTCAATTTAATGGACTCGCAAAGGTGAAAGCAACTTCACCTGAAAAGCATCAGCTTTAAACTCAGGAAAACTTGGAAGGTTTTCCAGTAAGGAACAGAAATCTGATCAATAGCTTATTGAAAATATGACTGGATATAGAGTCACATTTATCTGCGGTAGTTGCTTTTATGAAAGCAGTTTAAATCTTTTGCAAATAAGCTTTTCCAGAGAGCTCCATCCATAGGGTGCACAGGCAGGTGGACTACCTGTGGTCCAGAATTCAAACCCCCATCAATGCCACAGGAAGAGCAGTTGTTGAAATACTGGAAACCTGAAAACACACACACATACACACACACACCTGACCACTGTTCTCTCCAATGGCCAGCAGAGTTTCTGTGGTTGCAACCCACACTCGCTTTCATTTGCAAATGGATTTGGCTGTTAACGTAGGATTCATTCAATGCAAATCTTTCTTTCCAGGTGGCACAGCTCAGTTGAAAGGGGAGGCTGAAAATGAGTTAGCTGTATGGGAGAAGCAAACACCATGCCAGTTACCACGGAGAAATAATTGAACATGGATTGCCTGTTGCGCCTTTAATTTAATTTGGAGACCTTTCATCTTTTACTTTCCTTCATTTGCAGCCAATGCTTAGTGAGCTAATTTGTACCTGGTTCATTTTCTTCCTTCTATCTTATCTGCGTTTACATCAACCATGGAAATTAGAAGCACTATGAATAAAAGATGAAGCCTGACTTGGGACATTCTTTCCTTAAGCACTGTGAATTACTTAAAAACTAATTTGCGCGTGTGCACATACGCAGTGCTGAGATATAGACCTCCGCCCTACAGCATCCTTGATCAGCATTTTCCCTCCCCCCCAGGGTGCTTCAGTGTCTAGCTGTTTTATCTAGTCCTATCTTTTTTTCTGAGAGCCCTGTCTACTCTGTAATCCACATGGAATCAATCCTAGAACTGGTTTAAAGTAGGCCATCCCATTAATTCACAAAACTAAGGATGCATAAATTCCACTAATCTGACTCTTTAGAGAATCAATACTGCTTGCCATGTGAGGAAAATAATGTGTTGTAAAAAGAAAAACTGAACGTACTGGCATATGTGCATGGTGAACAGACACCTACTCTGTCCAAATGCATCTTGTGGGAGGGAGAAGGGATGGTGGTGGACAAAGGGACTAGCCATAAAATTACTGTCTTGGAGGGACCTCTAGGAGCTATAGAATTTAAATTCTAAGTGTGTCTAGGGTGGTAAAGGCCTGGGGTGGGGGGAGGGGCAGGCTAGAAGGGGTCAATAGGGGGGAAAAGGGGACATATGCAATACTTTCAACAATAAAGAAAAAAAAGAAAAAAATTCTAAGTGTGTGGTGCATATTGTGTTTTTAAAAAAGTTGCTTCTGTTGTGTATTTTGTATACTTGGCACCTCTCCACAAAAAAGGGCTGCACATGCTCTTAATTTTATTCTCATTACTCCATAAAGTTTTGCTTTTTTCCTTTATAGTTTCCTCTGGCCAATACTATTTTTTTTTCTCCTCACCGTTTCCTTTCTTATATTGTCTCTCTTCCCGCCTCCCGCATGGACCACTAGGGAAAAAAAAAAACCTACTGTATTCTCCTCTTGCTGCTTAGTAGCCACCACCACCAAGCCTTCCTTTCAGTTTGGGAAGCATCAAAGGAAGACTGTTCTGAATGTCTCACCGCCTGTGTTGCCAACTCTCACCCTCATCTAACACCACACACGACAGGCTAGCAGCTGGGAATAAACTGAAAATCATTCCCCCTTCACAGCCCAGCCCCCTAGAGGGGTAATTAATAATGATGTGCATTACTTTACACACACAAGACCACAGTTTCACAGGTAAGGCAACTTCCCAGTTGCAGGAGAAAAGTGGGTTTAAAATTGTGGTGTACTGACATGTAAAGCTCTGTGCTTCAGAATACAAACCATATCTTTTGTGAGAGAGAGTATGCAAGCAGAATAAAAATAAAAGCCCAATTTTTAAAAAATCAGATGATATCTGTAATCTTGGTTATAACGACTATACCACACATTTATTTCTTCTGTAGAAACATGGACAGAAAAGCCCTACCTCCTGAAAGGATGGAGAAGAAAAGATAGAGAGCAATTACTGGTCCTTTTATTCACGAAGAAGGAGAGGATGAATAGAAATGAAGGTGGCAACTGCTCTTAAGAAATGGATTTTTTTTCAAATCACATAGGCAGAAAAATTAAACTGAAGGTGTACAAGTAGCATTGGCCTGAGGTTAAGGACACTAAACAGATATTAGAATGAAAGTGTGGGGCATGTATGATCTACCCGACCCACAGTCCAGTTTACCTGGGTGAGGAGGGGGCGATGGAGTCTTAGAGGCAGGATATCAAGGAATTTGGGGTAGAGGAAGGCCATGGTCCCACAGGATGTCAAAGAATCCAAGATATTTTCCAGCTGTATTTGGGTATGAAGAAGAAACTGACACAACCTTGGAATGCAGTCTCACGTGCAGAACACACACACTGGCTGCAAAATACCAGCCTCAAGAAGTAACACCTGTTCTAGCCCAGTGCAGGCTGGTTGTGCGCACGTGTGGCCTTTCAAGGGAAAGGAGGGTCTTCTCCACAGCGTGGGGCCGGATGCACTCAGAACCCCCAGCAAGCACCAGGACGCAAGGGCGCCATGCAAGAGTAGCCCTGCTAACTCACCAAAGAGCGAGGCCTTCGAGAAAGGTCGAGAAAAGGAACTGGAAGTGCAGCTGGAAGCTCTGGCTGCGAAAAGACAGAACAGTCTTTTCCACAAGGCAGGACAGTCTCAAGTCATTTGCCAGAGAGTTTCCTCGAAAAAAGAGGCAGCATGCTGAGTCGGAAAGGGCCTTTGTGGGTGGGGGGAGAGATAGAGGGAGGACCCCCTTAGAAGGCAATGTTTTCACTAATAATCATTTCCGTGCCAGCGGACTGTGCCAGAGAAATTGGTCTCTTGGCTGATTTTTAAATAACTCTCTCCACCTTCCTCTCCATATGGTTCTAGAATTCCAATCGCACCTGTGCGTACTGAAAGGCCTGGGGAGTACACCAAGCCGCCCCGCACTGCGCAGGGCCGTCTCCCTGGTCCCCTCCTCTGGCATCTAGTCTCCCCGACCAACCTCTCCAGCTGGGCTGCATCCTCAGGCCACCCAGGCCTGTTCCTGCGATCATCCCCGCGCTCCCCAACTGTGCTACTCCCGCAACCCAATCTCGGGGCCAGGCAGGCAGCTAAACCAGACTCCCACCCTTGAGTCACGGTGGTCCTCACCGACTATCCCCAAACCCCACCCCCTTAACCAGCGAAACGCGCCAGGGCCGGCAGAGGCTGTGAGCTGCCCGCGAGGAGCGCTCCACCTGGAGTCCCAAAAGTGCACGGAGAAGTGACAACTCCCAAGTGCGGGCGACCCCCGAGGCCCCCTCCCGCCCTTGCCCCCCGCTGGGGCGGGCCGGCCACTACCTCCTGGAAGAGTTCCAGACTGTAGGTGTTGTCGTCGTCGGCGAAGAAGAGCACGCCGGGCTGCGCGCGCTGGTGCTGGTGCCTCTGGCGCAGCCAGGCGAGGCCGGCGTTGCGCTGCTCCGTGGCGCGCGGCAGCCCCGGCCGCTTGTATCGCCGCGGCGTGGGCACGTGCAGGTGCGTGCAGGGCAGGCCGGCCCGCGCCAGGAAGCGGCTCACCAGCTCGCTGCGCGCCGCCGCGTCCTCCACCAGGATCCAGTGCAGCTGCGCCACCTGGCGGAAGGTGTTGGCCAGGCGGGTCAGCTCGGCTTTTCTGCACCGGGCGGCTGTAGGTGGGCGTGATGGCATAGATGGTGGGCAGAGGCGGCTGCGGCTGCGGCTGCGGCTGCGGCCGCGACTCGTTGCGCTTCTCCGAGCCGCGCCCGGGGCCGCCCCTGCGGAGCGGGGGTCGGGCGCCCCCGCGGCCCAAAGCGTAGGGAGAAAAGTAGGGGCGCGGGGTGAGCGGGGGCGCGGGCCTGCGGGTGTCCACGTCGAGCATGATGATGACGATCAGGACCCAGGGCAGGAGGATGAAGAAGCGGCTGAACAGCACGGACTTCATGGTGCGCTCTTCCCCGGCTTCTCGGATGCCCCGAAGAGGGGCCAGCCGGGGGACCCCAGCGCGCAGTTTGGACGGCGGCGGCACCCGCACTCAAGAAGCCGCGGCCCGCGCGCTCTCCATCGGGTCCGGCGCTGCGGGGAGCCGGGGTTTCAGCGCCCGGCGTGGGGGTCGGCGCAGGTGCCCAGGGGGTAGGGCTACGAGGAGTGCCGGCGGGCGTGCAGGGGCTGCCCGCACTCGGCGAGTCGGCGGGAAGCGGACTTGGTCCAGCCGCGCGCTGCTAGCCGCGGAGTTGTGCCGAGCGACCGGGAAGACGCGATCCCCGCCGCGCTCTTCACAGGAATGGGA